TAGTAATAATAATATCCTGATCCGTTGGGTATTAGCGGGGCTGAAAGTCCCGCTAATTCACATACGGTCAGGGTATTGTTAATTAATACTCCCGTGATCTTGAATAGTGATCGGGGTATTATTATTACGTATATACTAACTTTTTTCTTTTTTTTTTAATTAATAGACCGCAGAAGATATAAAGAGCGGGTTTTTGCGTTATATAGACTGCCAAAAATGGTTTGTCGAAGGATCAAGCAAAAAGTAATTAAAAAAGGAAATCCGAAGTGCGAATTTGACAATTGATTCAGAGGTTCGATGTAAATTAATGGATCGTATATAAACATTTATTCAGATCAAAATGATTGCTTTTAGATTAATTTATTAATTAAAAGAATTAAAATAATTTTTTTTTCATAATCTTATTTTATATTTTATGCCTTTACTTAATTCTCTTGTTAATTTGATTTTTTTTAATTTTTAAAAAATTTACATTGTAATTTTATAATTTAAATAAGAATAAAATAAAATATTTATATACGTCTATATATAGAATTGGTTCTTAAAATTTATTGTGTAAAGTTTCGTTACAAAATTTTATAAGTTATTTATGTATTTACTATAAAAGCATTCGTGTAGTTTTTTTTTTTTAAAAAAGAAAAAAAAGCGTGCGAGTCACTTTTAAAATTCATGAAAAAAATAAATTTTGCTTTAATTATTATATAACAAAAATTCTTTGAACGCGTATACGTGAAAATTTGTCAATTACGTACGTACAGTATTATTAGTTTAAATTATAAATGATTTACATCAGCATTAATTTTACTCAAGAATAGTCAGAACACATAACGATAAAGATCATTAGATTACGTTAATGTAGGCTTGAAAATTATTCTTATTATCTGTAGCAAATTAAAATCTACTAAAATAAAACCAGTTGTGTCTCCTGATATAATTATTATCAGGTAAATTCTTACAACATTCAATTTAAACAATTTCAAAGCCACAAACATTTTTCAAAACTTAATAGAATAGGAAATTAGATTATATAAAGTGTGATACGTATCGTAGATTCTAGCTTTTATTTATTTGAAGTATTCGAATAATATAATAAATTTTTTTTTTTTTGGCATTTGACTTTCACATTGTTCGTTACTTTCTCAGCCATAAGTGGAAATTAATATATTTAAAAAATAAATAAGCTTAATCTAAATTGAAGTCCATGCTTTGCACAGACATAATTTCTACATCATCAAAATTAGTCTTGCTAAGATGAAAAAATATTCTTCTAAATCCAAAATCAAAAAGCGCCAAACTGATTGTAATCCACCTTAATATCCATACAGGCAATTCTTGTAAAAACTCCTTGTTATTAATAATTATTAATAAAATTATTCGTTAATTTACAATCAATTTTTTTTAATTAATTAAATAATGAAATATAATCAAAAATTATGAAATACCTGAGTAGTAGAAACTCTAAAGGCCGTCACGGTATAATGAAACCAAAATGTGATAACCATAAAACAAACACCGAGTAACACAGCATGCCTAAATTCACGTCTATCCTCCGTGAACATATCGAAAAGTTCATTAATCAATGTGTAAGCTGTATAGATGTTACTAACACTACCAAGAAAAAATACTCCAAGATGAAGATGTTGTATCTCAGGCCGACAAAGAATACCAAACCAAAATTCAGCATCAAGTATTGTTGGAAATAACTTGATTAATAATAATGGAAATGATGATAAAACTAGTTCATTATGAAGATTAATATCTGATGGTGTAAGAGTTGCACAAAATGGAAGATTGAATGACGACAACGTCCATATTGAAGATGATGCATTAGTTATGGTGTCCGAGAAAATCTCTTTTGTTACAGTTTCATCATTCGAGTACATCGCTGATGTAAGCATTATGATGAATTTCATCATATAACCACTGGGAATAAGTAATGCAATAACTATTCCACATGTAATAGTAACTCTTACATCTATACAATTATCATCAATATAATAATTTAATTAATATTATCGTATTTAATAATAATTAACAGTTAACTTTAAAAGTTAGCTCACCTCCACGGTTCAAAATATTCCTAACAGTTTTCTTTTTTCTTACTATATATTCAAATTTACATGAAGTACATCTATCAGAATTTTTAGTTGTACGAATTTTCAACAGTCTATTTCTCCATTGAGTCAAACAACTTGAGTGCACATATTTAACACTCCCTATCAAATCAATTTTCACATAATTTTTCTGATTAATAAATTTTATATTAACGATGAATTTTCAACAATTTTATACAATTTATGAAGTATCTTACCTTTGCATTTACAAGGCGCTATTAGAGATTTTGGATCATCTTTACTAAGACAAATACGACATATTGGGGATCGTGCAGACATTTGGGTATGTTATATTTTACAATCTGTTAAAATAAAAGTTGGAAAATAAATGATCAAAACATCATAACATCCTCATGAGCGTGCATATTAAGAATTTTGAAACTTCTTACCTATACAAAATATGTTGCTTCTAATACAAAACGCAAAACTTAGTGGATTCAATCACTGTTGCCTAAGTATTTAAAAAAATAGATATAGTTATTAGATCCGCATTCACACAATATCACGTATACCATAACGTTTGTTGTGGTCTTATTTATTATTATAAATAAGAAACGCCAAAAAAAAGGATTTATTTTCAAAAAACAATGATAAACCTACTGAATAAACAATTTAACTATTTATGGTACAAGTCTAATGCTCTATTTCTACAAAATTGTTCAAAGAAATTCGCCAGATAAAAATGAAGGGTCAAAAAGGCGTTAGTCTAAATTTTGGACTTATTTATATTAAGCATGTGGCGGCTTAACGTTAGTACTACTGTACTATTGAAAATCTTTTGTACGACGGATCTATACTTCGATAGTTACCAGTATTTACATGTATACAACGGACGATTAACAAAGATTACCATAAGACTATTGCTGTATTACTTTTACCCCTCTTTGTGTACAAGTTCCAAACTTAAGCAACGAAAGTTTCCATCTCTACAAAAAATTGTTGCAAGTAGAATTAAGCATAAAAGACTTTTACTTTTCTAGCTGGCTTATTCCTCAGATCTTTAATTACTGTTTTAACTGCCATTATTTTATTATACATACGTATTCACACACAGTATACACCAAATTGTAATACTGGTACTTACGTATACGTTGAAAGCTTAGAAAAAACTTATTTTTTATTTAAATTCTTAAAATACTGTTAATTTATAATGGATCTTTTTTGGTTAGCGGATCTAATAGCTATATCTATTTTTTTAA